GCGTCCAATACATTTGCATTTAACACAAACCCCTTTAACTTTGTTGATAATGTGCTAGAAAAGGTTTCAGATTTTAAGTACCTAGGAACCAGGATAAGGTCATTAGGCACCACAATATTGGATACGAAGTCGAGGACAAACAAAACCAGATCCCGATGCCATCAGCTGACGAAATTATGGTCGTCCAACCTTAACCAAATATCCACGAACCAAAAGATAAGACTCTTCAAATCCCTAGTTCTACCCATCTTAACATATAGATTAGAGACGTGGCAGGGCACCTAAAGCAATATTAACACATCCCAGACCTTTATAAATAAATATCTAAGAAGAATTGCTAAAACATACTACCCATACAGATACAACCCCTCAAACTCAACTCTTTAAAATAGGTGCGACATCTTACCTATCAATCGACTCATTCCTTTGAGGAGATTAGAATCACTTGGTCATTACTTAAGACATTTACAAGAAAATATAATATTTACATCCATGAAGTGGACCCCAGATTATTGGAGGCTGAGAACTCCCAAATACTATTGGCTGACAAAATGTCTGAAGGACATGGACTTGATCAATCTTTCGTTTACAGATTTTTTGGCACTCAGCAAGAACAAAAAACATTTAAAGGAACATCTACAATACATGTTTAAACATAGTATTAACTAGAGAAATCGTTAGGAAGTATTAGACTATTCTGGCATCGGCTTATTTCCAATCCTCTTCTCCTCAGGTTGAATGACAATTTATGTTTCGGCACAGGTTATATTGGAACTATGGATAGAATAAAATAGGATGAGGGTGATAACAATTTTTTTTTTATTTATTCCCCCCTCCCCCTTTTTAACTTCTTCCTTTTTCCTTTCTCTACTAATTGAACGATATTGACGAAGTCAATGATTATCATAGAACCGTGAATAATGATAACGATTCCCGTTCGCTATAATAATGATAATGTGATAAATATAATGAGGATACCGAGCATCACTTGCTTAGTACAGACAAGGATTTATGGGGACACACGATATTGACTTTAGTGAATGACAAAAATAATGAAAATAAAAAGAGGAAGAAAACAGGAAAAAATCCAACAAAAGATATTAAGCTCTTTAGGATAATGGGTTTCAAGGACCGAGGTTACAAATGCAGGGAAGTTGATGCCTCTGGTATAGGACACGCTGAATTAGCTTATCTTCCAATGATATATTTACCTAACTTAAGACTTATTGTTTTCTTCTCATAAATATCTAAGCTAAGGCGCAGGTAGATTATTATTAATATTGGTTACTATTTTTTTAACACTATCTATCTTGCCCCTAACGGAACTAATAGATCCCCTCTTTCTTACTCCTTTCTTCTTTACTATGTTAGCTGACTACATAGTGGTACCATCCACTATAATAAAACGGGTATACATCATGTATAGGATCTATATATTAGTGAATATACACGGTGCACGCACTCCTGGTTTCTGGCGTGAATGATTTTCTATTAATATGTTCAACTTTTTTTTTCTAATATCGGGTCAATCACACTCCAAATTAATAAAACGGGTATACATCATGTATAGGATCTATATAAGTGAATATACATGGTCTACTCCTGGTGGGTGATGCAATTTCTGGCGTGGTAATGAATGAAATCATAAAAAAAATATATTTCTAAGCAACCTGAGGCCAAAGAAAATAAGAATGTTGTACGTTGTCTATCCTGTCGTGTTTCGTTTTCATTCAGTAATACAGGTAAAGCAGAGATAGGACATTTAGTTACTGAAAAACATAATAAAGAATCAAGCAGGTAATTCGGGTAAAATAACGCAATAATTAATAAACAAAGCTAGACGAAGTTTCTGCCGAGAAGGCACCTTAATCTTTAATTATAATGTTTTTAATAAATGGCAATTAAAAATGTTCCAGAGTGGCCAGAGCTAGAGGGCTATCAATACCTCAAAAATATAAATATTTTTAAATGAAAAATCAAAGTTTTTTTATCAATTTTACAACCTTAAATTATTTATTTCAAAAAATGAACTGCAAAGAATATACAAAACTTTCCCTCCACCAGAAATGGGTTCAATATTTCTAATATTCCATTGAGCCATATTGTATACTGTTAATTATAGCAAGTTTTAGTTTGCTATACCAGCTCATAAAGATAATGTTGAAAGTGTTTTTGTTAATTAATTGCCATTGAACAAATAAGAGTAATACATATATAATCTCTGAAAGCAATTATGTTCACACAAAATAATTTGGAACTATTTTTATGCCAAGATTTTTATAAATAATTAATGAAGACTAAATATATTAAGAAATATACTGGTGAAAAATATGTAATACAAAAATATGAATATTCATATTTAATGTAATTGATATATGCAAAAAATCAATTAAATTTTTTTTGCCTTACTTAAAATAATACATAAAAATTTTTCCATTAAGCAATGGTAACACTAATTATAATCCTACCCCTCCATGGTAGAAGTCTCTTTGAGATAAAACTTTTTTCAACCCTAGAGTTTGAAATTATCATATATGGCAATAGTTTTACTGTTAAAAATATACATTGAATTAAGATATTTGTTTTGCTGCTTTGATTATGATCATCTCTTTATAAGATAAATTTAAAACAATTTATAATTATACATAAATATTGACAAAAAATTTTCTATTGTAATCAATTTATACTATCACAGGTGTCTACAGTTTATAACTAATTCTATTAAAGATTACCATAATTATTTGATTCAAACATATTATTTAAAGTATTTTATTTTTGTATTTAAAAATATTCAAAAGTTTATGCAAAATGAATATCAGATAAAAATAATGTGATCCACAATATATTGTTAATGTTAATTTTAGAGATAAATCCAGGAATATTTAATTCTAAATAAAATTTTTACAATATTCGAAGGTTTTAATTTTCAAAAATATGGGAACAAATTATTTTAAAGTTTCTCACTATTTTTTCATTAAAGCTTTAAAAATTTATAAGAAAGAAAATCATTTTTTAAAAGATGAATGAAATACAACTGATAATTTCTTGTAAAGAATATAATTTTAAATATTCGACAATCTTTTAATGGTAGCGTGGCCGAGTGGTCTAAGGCGCTGGTTTTAGGCACCAGTCTCCCCGGAGGCGAGGGTTCGAATCCCTCCGCTGCCAATTTTTTGTTGCTAAATTATTGGAAAAGTTGATTTATTTTATGGAAGTCTTTATCATATTCAATTTTATTTAAGTTAAGAGGAATAGAGGATTAATAAACAATTTTTATTTCTTCATAAATATTAGTAATTTAAACGTATAAAAAAAAATTCAATTGATTTAAAACTTAAAAATCTTTAATGTATATTAGTTAAATAGTAATGCAAAATATTTGTTAATATGAAATAAAATAAAAGTTAAAATGAATAAAATAACTATTTACCTAGCTTATACTCTGAATTCAAATTTTTTTTTGAAAATTATCCTTATGAATAAGTGACAAAAGGAGAGTATTACAAAATAAACAAAACTAATATTTAACTTAATGTAATAAAAAGATCATCATATAGAAGAGAAAACATATACTAATATAATATATGTATATATATACCATTATTAAAGAATCAGACGAAAGAAGTCTACAAACTATGGAGATGAGAATGCTGAGGATGATTGCTGGGGTATCAAGAAAGGATAAGGTGCGAAGCATAAGAATATAGGAAGTTTAAAGGTAGTTCCTATTAAGACTAAGATAATGGTGAACAGGCTTATGTGGTATTGGCACACAATGAAAAGGCCTATGAACTATATAGGAAATAATGTTGAGAGTTTGGAAGTGAAGAACAAACGTAAAAGAGGAAGGTCAAATAGAGCCAATAGGAAAAGGTATAAATTAGATAAAAGAGATAGCATGAATAACATAAAGAGGAGAGAGATATTGAAGGAGCTTACAACCAGAAAAGAAAGCTAAAAAGAAAAAAAATATATATATTTCTTTACAACTCCTAATGGTTCCCAAACAATCTTTTATTTTCATAAATATGTAACTATTTAATTTTTTCATAAAACAAAACATGATTCTTAAACAATAATCTTTCTTCTCCAAAAAATATTGAAAAACGTCCATATCTGTCATTTACATATTAATAGATACAACAACTAGAAATCTGATGGGGCAGGGCCAGGGGCTTCTACCAATGACCTTTACACTTTCTAAGCCATGTAAGTTGATTACCTCCCCTGAAAAGTAACATAAACTTCCCTCCGAAAAAAGGCATTTATTATTTTTTGACACTTTTTTGGAAGTACATGAGGTAATAGGAATGGTTAATAAATATTTTTATAAAATTGATAAATTAGGGAAAGCAAAGTAAACGATAAGGTAAAATAAACGAATAATTTTTCAGTTTGAATCAAACATAATCATCATCATCAGAAGAAGAAGCTAAATATAAATAATGTATTATTATAAATATTTTAATAAAATATATTTACAGAAGTTGACAAATCTTTAGATTCTCTAACCTCCAGGTCATAATTATATTCCTCGTATTAGCCATAAAATAAATATTTCGAAACTTGGATATTTTTCTTTCAAACTTGACTTGAATTTCAATGATAAGATTCACAGATATCCGCAATATCATCCTTAACGAATGTATTTTCCACCATTGCCTTTGGTGTAAAAAATGATATTTGATCTCGACTACTAAACTGATTGAAACACTTACCTCAACTAACTAAGCAATAAAGGATGGCATAAGTGTAAGGTCGTCTAAAAGATAGGCCAACTAAAAGTGACGTCATAACTTTTATTTAGCTTATAATTTTCTTTCTTATTAAGGCAGTTAATAAAATCAATAACGGAATATAAATGTATTAATGAAGCATTAAATATTGGCGAAAACCCGGATGTTTAGTTATTTTGTAGTTTTTATTTTGGCGCGTCGCCATTTGTTGTTGGGTTACCGCCCTTTTTTGAGTACTTGAAATGTAAGGGGTACAGATTAGAGATGGCAGACATGATCGCAATTAACGCCGGCGCATTGCGCGACGACATTGTCTCTGAGGTGGAGGGTAGTGAATTGGCGTTAATGATCAGCCTGTAATAAGGAGACAGAAATTTCACCTGGGGGTGGCTTCAAACCTAGCAGAGACTTCTACCATCGGAAGCAGAGTGTATAGAGCATTAAATTATTTTCCTTGAATATGAGCCCTTTGTGCTCAAGAAATAGAAATTCGTCTCATCATCATTGAAATTGGAGAGAGGTAAAAGTGAGGTAGGGTGGGGTAAATTGTTATTGGCTTGGGGATGTAGTAGTTTCTACAGCCTAGAAAGTTAGACACCTGTATCGCGATCCGGGTTCGATCCCCTCATGAATACATCCATTTAAAGAATATATGACAGTTACCGTTTTCTAATAATTATTTATATTTTATAATAAATTTCAATTATAGTCAAAGTCAAATGTCTCGTTCAGGGTATGACGGAATGGAAAAATGGAGGAAACAGATTTTCTAAAAAAAAGATCCAGAAGATGGAATTTTTTTTTTTCACAATTATGCGACAAATTTGAATGGCAAAAAAATTACTGATCTATTCATTTTGAAACATAATGACCACATGGACATTTTCCGAGTGATTCCACTTGAAATTTTTCAGGGGGCTACTAGAGAGCCATTAAAAGATTCCGTTCAGGGGGCTATTCAAATTTTTGAAGGTACTCAAGTCCCTGCTTGCATCCCCCTAGTGATGCTATTGGTTGTTAGATTATATGTATTTAGTCTTAGTTTATGAAAAATGATGAGATATTTAAATAAGGACCGCCAAAACTGTTAAAAATTATTCCCCCTATTTTAATAAATAAAAAAGGGTAAATATATAATAAGAGATCTGCATCGGGCCTAAATATCGTTAGGTCCGACGCGAATAACCCCGGCCCAAAATTTATATTGACCGAGAACCAAAATTATTTTCAAAAATTAGGATCTCCTAAAACCAAAGTATTTTCGGACAGCTGGGGGAGGTGGGCGTGTCGGGCCGGGCCATGCAGATCACTATATACAATGACCACATTTATATTTTAAATGAAAATAAAATAAATTATAATAAAAATATATAAAAACTAAAAATGCAATAATTATTTGTCATGCATAACAATTTTTTTTTCCTTCAAAGTATAAAAATTGAAATTTGAGAAGAAAATATTTATATCAAAAAAACAACAATCCAAAATAGATAAATAATAGTGTTGTTAAATGGCTCGTTTTGAACCGCTTTTGAAAAACGGCTAACTCTATATTTAAGCCAGAAAAAAATTGCTTAAGCCTCCAGATTTTGCTAGTCTAGACTTTTTTTTTTTTTACCATATGTGAGCAAATTCTTCAGGCTAGCGTGATATTTTTCTGGATAAAATACGTATAATGCATAAATATGAATTTTCGTAGGGTTTATTTTGGTATTTGTACTTTTCATTTTGCGTAGTGTAAGATTGGCATTTAATTCTCTATAAAGGTTTAATTCTATTTTGGAGATAATTATATTATCACTTTTGATCTAATCACTCTTATCCATGTGCTATTTTGTTTAAGGCTTTGAAATGTATATTTCTTCTACTGCAAGAAGACTAAAAAAAAATAAATTTGTTATTAATTCTAATAAGTCAGAAGTGTCCTGGATATAATGACCGAAAATACCTTGGAATAATTCTAGTCACCAAACAACCCTCGGGCAAAAAAAATACCCTACGAAATACACAAGTTTTGATAAATAAAAATTTAAATGCTCAGAAAAAAGGAGGAAAGTTATTTAAAATAATATATTATATTAATTAATTAAAAATTGTGTTTTTCTAACAGCTGGTGGATCAGTGGGTTGAGAGGTAACAATTACAGTGAAGGGTCGGTGATTCGATACCAGCTCGGAACCATTTTTTTAAGGCCACTCCTCTTTCTGAAGCTAAGCTATCACGAGCAGTTAGCGAATACTGCTAGCTAGCCAGCCCGGATAAGGGGGTAGGATGAGTCGTAACTATGGGGGGAGCGCAGTGGTTCGAGACCCCTGAAAAAATTGAAACTCCCAATCAAAATTGAATTTTGGGTTGTAAAGGTTAGTGGTGGCCATGGGCAGGGTAGAGATAAATTTAAAAATTTAGTAGATTTCTGCCGTATATGAACAGATAGAAAACTAGACATTTATATTCGCTATTTGTTATTGTCCCCCCAAATATGGCTGATAAAAGAGCTGAAGCGTATTTTGCTAATAACGAAATTAAGCTAACATCCTACGTTCGTGCTAGTTCCATGAGAAATTGAGATCTAGGAAATAAATGGAGTCAATTTTTCACGCGATAAAGAGTTGTTGGTGCAATAATTGCAACAAATAGTTCCACACCCTTAAATGCTTCAAATTTTTTGCAAATAATATTTTAAATGTATCATTTAATCTATAATCAGATTTAGATTTTATTTCATTTATCATATATATTTCATACAAATATATTGATATTTAAAAGCCAATATTACATCCCATGATTATTACAACCTATTTAAATTATCTTTATTTTCACATATGAAAATTTATTGACAAAACGTTTCATAAATGTCAATTACAAATCGACAGATACAACAGTTTTAATATCTAATAGATGTTTATTATTTTGATAAACTATTGCATTTGATTGTTCGAGGCGTTTTCACATCGTATCAAAACTCACTTAAAATTCCTTCCTTCCTTCCTTCCTTCCTTCCTTCCTTCCTTCCTTCCTTCCTTCCTTCCTTCCTTCCTTCCTTCCTTCCTTCCTTCCTTCCTTCCTTCCTTCCTTCCTTCCTTCCTTCCTTCCTTCCTTCCTTCCTTCCTTCCTTCCTTCCTTCCTTCCTTCCTTCCTTCCTTCCTTCCTTCCTTCCTTCCTTCCTTCTATATTTTTTTAAAAAAGTAGTCTTACCGAGCTATTCACAGTTAGCGGTAATTAGCGGCAAAGTATATAAAAATTAATGTATATTTTGTGTGCCGCGATATTGCGTTAAATGTTAACGTAGCGTTTTAGTTAGAAGAAAATAAATAATATTCTTGGAGAATAAGTGAATATTAATCTGGGTAGTTTTAAGACTTTGATTTGATCAGTTAATTAATGGATAAAATTTTTTCAATTTTTTCATTGTCGCGGTTATAACTTGCGCATTTTTTTTAGTTTTTAGTTTTGATTTTTAAAATATAATTTTTTAATTTTTCAAAAAAATTATTAAAAATTTCCTTTTAAACAGTTTTTTTCTGTTTAATAAAAAACAGTTTTTATTTAAGAAAAAAACAATTTTTGTTTAAAAAAAAAACAGTTTTTAGTTTTTGTTTAAAAAAAAACAGATTTTATATCAAATATTTCAAAAAAACATTTATATTAAAAATTTCAAAAAAACAGTTTATTTAAAAAATACAGTTTTTGTTTAAAAAAAAAAGAGTTTATATATCAAAAAATGATTTTTTGTTTTGTATTTTATATTCTTACAAATTCTTTACCTTCCCTTCTCCCCCTCCTCTATTTAATCGCGCAATTAAAAATATAAGATTCATTCTTCACCTTAAATATTATTCTAAATAAGTTTATTAAAAAAAATTTTCCCATAGTTTTTAATTTTTTTAAATTTTTTCCCCCATTATTATTATTATTTTCTTTTGTTTCCTTCCTTTCGTGAGCCTATAATTTCTTTGTTTTTTTTCCCCCTTTTAGATTGTTCTTTGCCCGTTTTTTATTTCGGTAATTATTGTTTTTTTTTTTCAGTTTATATCCATAAACATTTTTTTTTTCCTCCGTTCACATACCAGTTCAAAGTCGAGCCAAAAGCATCTGAAATATTTTTGATTTTTCGTTAAATTTGTAACTTATTTTTTACTTGTACGCGCCAGTTTGATTCGTTTTTTAAACATCGGTGTCGAGAAATGTTAGGTAGTGTTTTGCCTAAGCCTCAAGATTTCGATACATGTCTAGACCTTTGTTCCTTTTATGGGCAAAATCTTCAGGCTTGGCTAATATTTTTCTGCATGAAGCATCGAGTTAGCCATTTTTAAAAATCGGCTCATAATGTGCCATTTAACAACACTAATGTTAGGTCGATTTATTAAGGAATGACCCCTTAATAATAATCTAGTGTATATTGGAATAAAACAAGTGTTGTCCATATTATTTTTAATTTCTTAGATCTCTAGATCATCTTTATTAGATAAAAATTGTTATATTATTCAATTTTTTTATTCGATTATATTAATATATTTATGATAAGCTGAACAAAATTTCGAATATCCCGACTTTAATCGGGGATATTATTTTAAATTTGTTTATTTGAATCCAATTTTTATGCTTACCTTTTTTTTTGAGTTTCCTCCCATCCCCTTTAATAAATAATACGTAAATACACAAGAATGAATTGCCTATTTTTATTTAGTCAGTTTATATAAGTTTTATATGATTAATTTTTTGGAAAAAAAAATCATAAAAATATAATCAAAAAATGATCATCTCTCCTCAAATCAAGAAGAAAATGTAGATTTTTATATTAATCGCGATGATATTATCTATTTACTCTTTCAATTATTTATTTTGCTTCATATTCTAATTATGAAATATCGTCTCAAATTCTTCGGGCAGATAATCACTCGGAGGGAAATACGTCTAAAATTGTAAATCAAAATTCAAGAAATGCGTTCACCGGTTATGATATTTCGCCACCTTATTGTAGAATATTGAAATTGAATTCGTCTAAAAAAGATATAACTTATTCGGAAAGTTATACTCTCCCAGCTTTTAAGACGGAATGCGTACCGGGCAAGAACGTTCCTTTGACTCATATCGAATCGGATACGAATCCCGAAAATCTCGAAAATGGACACGTTCTCACATTTAATATAAGGGTAAATTTAACCGCTTTACGGCTTCATTTTGGGGGTGCGGATAATTTCCAAGGTTGCGAATACCAAAAAATATTAAGGGATTATAAGTCAAACAGTCCGGACAACGTCATCACGTTTACTAAGCCGATTTCGTTTAAGTACCAGGTGGGAGTTCGAATATATGCTGATTCTTCCCAGACTCGCCATGACGTAAATCGGAATTTCGACTTTTTCGTACGGGTTAAGTGTTTCGATAAGAAAAAATCCGTTATTTATCGAAATGTGCACACAGCTGCTTGCGAATCGGTGTCTCATTACGTCAACTGCCACTCATCCAAGGGGAGAGCTAAAGAATCGATGCCTAAGTTCAATATATTGCTCGTAGGAATAGATTCGACGTCGAACAAAAATTTTGAGAGAAGTTTAGTCGAAACTTACCAATACCTGACTTCCAAAAGGAAAAAAGTTTTTCGCTTTGAAAAGTACGCGAAAATTGCGGATAATACGTACCCAAATTTGAACGCGCTGCTAACGGGAAGATTTGTATGGGAAAATAATCCTAATGGCGATAAAAATTATTTTGACAATACCAGTTTAATATGGCGCGAATACGAAAAAAGCGGGTATTCTAGCATTTTCTTAGAAGACGAACCCGATTTTTCAACTTACAATTATTTGAAAAAGGGATTTTATAAACCCCCTTCTAATTTTTATTCGCGACCATTTTCGTTAGAATGGCAAAAGGTGATGAGCCAGTTATCGTCATCTTCGTCGACGCATTGTTCCGTGTACGGGAAAAATGAGGTTGAAATGTTGCTAGATTATTCTAAATCATTGATTCAGGAAATGGAGAAATCCAATCACCCTATTTCAATTTTAACTTTATCACTCAATATACGCATGGCCATTTGCAAGGGCTAGACGAATTGGATGTCATTTTGCACAATTATTTTAAGGAAATGATAGAAAGTCATCGCTTAAAGAATACTTTTATATTCTTATTCTCCGATCACGGTTTAAGATTTGGCACATTTAGGCAGACTTTAAATGGTTTTTTATTTTTGCGTTTTGTAATATAATTATATGATTTAAAATGAGTTTATTTATAATAATTATTTGTCCAATTATCATTAATAGGTATGTTGGAAGATCGCATGCCCTTCTTACTAGCAATTCCACCGGATGACTTTTTCACCAATTACAATCAGGACGAAACCATATTCAGAACTAATAACGTTTAATAACGGCTTTCGATTTCCATAAAACTTTACTTAATTTACTCGAAATAACAAACAGCGGAAAAAGTTCTTTAACCTCATCAGATGATAACGGCAATGTAAGCGCTGTCAGGGGAATAAGTTTGCTACAGTTGGTGCCCAAAACGCGCACTTGTGAATCGGCTTTTATACCTGCTCATTACTGTCCGTGCAACTGGATAAAACCATATCCTCCAAAATTATTAAAGAAAACTTCCTTGGATAACCATAGTTCACTTGCCTCAGATCTATCTAAGCTGATTAAACATGGTGTCAATTTAACAATTAAAAAAATCAAGAATATCTTATCTAGCTATCGCCATGTTTGCCTAGTCAATGAATTGAAATTGCATACTATAATGAACGCTATTCCGGTAACACGTGATTATTCGACTCCCCGAGATTTCGAAATGTTATCTAACCTAAATATAAACAAGGGTATAGCTAGAAAGGGTGACATGAATGGAATTGAACTGTCAAAATTCGAAGTATCAAAGCTGTTAAAAGGATTTGTACTGGTATTCAAAATTTCCCCAAATGATGCGGTATTTGAAGCCACATTAAACTTTGCCAGACTAAATGTCTCCAAAATTTTCGATGATATAACAGATATATCTCGATTGGATTGGTATGGATCGAATTCCTATTGCGTTGATGATCCTTTAATTCAAACATTTTGTCATTGTATTTGATGAATATGATAAATTAAGCTTATTATATTAACTTAATATCTTCAAAGAGAAAAAGAGAATTCCGTCAAAGTATTATTTTTTCAACTTTAAATCATTTCTTTGAGTGCCTTTTTTTAAAATTTATAAATCTGATTTTACCGGAAATGAATTCCATCTTGTTTGGACCACCTGCCCTATGAATTTCAGATAATTTTATGATGAAAATTTGTGAAACTTAATCTAATTTATATTAGTTTTTCCATAGAATTTTGCATAAAAATTATAAATGACTCAAAAGTTAGCGGTGAAAATTTTCTACAATTCATAAGGATAAGTATTCTAAACATGCCGGAGGTAAAATCGGATTTTTAAATTTTAAAGAAAAACCGGCTCAATGAATGACTCTTGATTGGAAAAATAACACTATAACATCTATATGTCATAATTGGTGTTTTTTTTAAACATGTACATTCATAATATTTTATTTTTTTTTTATCACGCGCAATAATCTGGTTTGTTAACATGGGCGCATTGGTTTGGTTTGGGATTATAAGACTCATAATGAGTCCTGTTTATTTGTATTTGTAAGAATTATTTTTTTATTTATCAAATTATAAGCTATAAAAAGACCGTTTTTCGGCAGAATATGTTACTTTTTATTTTTTCTTATTTTGAATTTAATAAAGTTTAATAAAATTATTCTTTGACAGTCTCGGATTTATTCTCAACGGCATAACTGCAATTAGTGTTGTTAAAGGGCTCGTTTTGAGACGATTTTTAAAAACGGCTAACTCGATATTTTATCTAGAAAAAAAATATTACCCAAGCCTGAAGATTTTGTTCATAGAAGGAACAAAGATCTAGACATATATTATCAAAATCTCCGAGCTTAGGAAATATTTTTCCGGCTAAGGCCGCATTCATGGTGGGATCCGATCAGACACGATTTAACAGCTGATCGATTTTCAAATCGGTTTATGAGAATCAATTTTTCTTTATAAAAACCAATATTTATTAGGTTATTATCATGTATAGAATTATGGATAAAATAAAAATTATTTAAAAAGAAATTGATCTCATAAACAGATTTTTAAAAATCAATCAGCTGTTAAATAGTGTCTGTTCGGATCCCACTGTGAATGCGGCCTAAAATATTGAGTCATCCGTTTTAAAAGATTAGCTCAATACGAGCCGTTTAACAACACTAACTGCAATAATATACACAGATAAAAGTTTGTTTATATTTTATTAATTTCCATATTTAAATAAATCGACCAAAAAAAAAAACTCAATTCTTAAACACGACCCCCCTTTCAAATTTTTCCTAAATTTGTGTGATGAATAGTAACTAAATAAAATTAAAATTCTCAAGGTTTACTTCCCGACCACCTTTTATGAAAGCAAACATTCTATTTAATTTTAAATATCTCAAAAGATAATTATATATATATATATATAAGATCTTTAAATATGAAGGTAAAATAAGTAAAAAGGACATAAATGCTAGACTGGGTGAACGAGCATTAATCAAAGAGTCATCATCCATTAAACATATGTCTTATACATATAACTAGAAAAAGTTTTTTTTTTAATCAAAATTATGTTAATAAAAAACCAATAGAAGATTAATTTTATGTTAAATAATTAAAGAATTATTTACTACTTTTTAAAGAAGCGCCATAGTTATGCCCGAAGGTAGGTTTTGGTTTAAACAACTCGAATTATTAAGCCAAAAATAAATAATATAAATGTTGTATTCTCCAGCTCAGTTTTTGTTGTTACCAATGAAAAATGGAAAATTTGCCCTCTGGCTATTTCGGAATTTAAGGAAAGATTCTTTGTAAATTCATTTGCCGTTTTGATATCCTTATTATAGATTATATAACTTTCGAAGAATGGTTGTCTGCTAAATGCTACGAATCTCGAAACGCCAACAAAATCTGCTAGCGATTTTGTAGAAATATTTAATTGAAAAAAAATTTAGTTTTGGCCTTGGCGCGAACAATCATATTTCTTAACTCATTAAATTCTTATTCGAATAATAGGGAATTTTCTCAATAATATCGAACTTTGCAGAGAACTTCGCGTTTTGTAGCTCTCCATCTAGCTCTGGGTTTCCATTTATTATATAATAATAATAATTGGCTAAATAAAGTTATAAATATGTTTAGAATTATTTTCTTTGAAAATCAACATGTGTTTTAAATTATACCAAATTTTCCACCTACCTATTTATTTGTGCAAAAAAACGGCTAAAATTTATTTTCAATTTATTTGCATATTTTTTTAAAAAATTTGTCACACATTTTTAATATGAATGATGTCGATTTTTGCCGTTTAGTGTCCATTTACAAATAATTTGAAAAAAATGGTATTTTTCTATTTATGGTTTTTTCCATTTACGGTTTTTGGTATTAAGCTGATTTAATTAAATTTATGTCATAGACTATTATAAGAGCTATATAATAAGATTTAAATCATGGCTTTAATTAAAATATTTTTTTGAGATGTTCAAATTTCAATGGTGTATTATAACAAAAAAAAAATTTGGTTTTTAAAGGTAGTCATATCCATATCTCGTAAGTTGAGATGGAAATTAAAAATTTTATAATAACTAATGTATAAGAAGTCATCATTTTATTAATAATTGTTGTGTATTACAAGTTATTTACATTAATGTTAAACGGCTCGTTTTGAGTCGATTTTTAAAAACGGCTCACTCAATATTTCATCCAGAAAAATACTAAGCAAGCCTGAAGATTTTGCTCATAGAGGGTACAAAGGTGTAAACAGGATACTAACGAAATCTCGAGGCTTAGGCAAAATTTTTCTGGCTAAAATATCGAGTTAGCTGTTTTAAAAAATCGGTTCAAAACGAGCCGTTTAACAACAAACACTAATTTACAAATAGTTTTACTGTCATCATACGCGTCTACTTATAAAACAAAAATTAGTTACGATTTTGGGCGATATAAAATGAAAAGGAAACCTCAATTTAAACATAAGGTTGCGTTGTGTTTTTATATTATAAAAGTATGACCAAACGCAAACGCTCAATTTGTGCGCACTATAAGCGTATTTTTTTTTTTTATTAAATTTTTTTATTTTGTAGAATTCCCCTATTCTTATTTCATTCCGATTTTAAATACCGGAATAAATTAATACAAAATAATATTTTAAAAAAAATTGATAATTTGATTCAGTTTTTAAAAAAAATTCTTTACATTTGACCATACATTATAGAAATGTAATTTAAAACCGGGGCCAACCCAGGGTTTATTATATCCTCTCCCGCTAGATACTGTCAACGCTGCTTATAATTATCGCCTTAATGCATATCCATTTAAAACCAATTACCCCCATAAGATTTATATCATATTATGGTGAAAGGGGGAGATTCTTTAAAAGTCATTTAACCTTAAGTTTTTATTTTGTCTTATAAACTAGCAAAAGGCAATGATCTGGCTCAGACCCTTTCATGAATGACAAATTTTCGAAAACAAATGATATACAATACAATAACATATAACCGGCTTTTAAAATTATGTTAATAATTTTTCTAATAAACAAATGTATATTCCTACAAGAAATGAGAAAATTGATAGAACACCAGAAGGCTGATGTGTCCTCGGATGTTGATGGATAAAAATTGCCACAAGCAAAATACCTACTAAAAACGGTCTGTGTTCATTTCCATGCCCTTTTCCTAAAGCAGGATCCAATTTTGCTTTAGAAAACTGCTCTGGAGGCAGAACGTGTTAAAGTATTTTCCCATTAGCAGGACGGTGCTGTAAGAAGTGTCTTTGAGAAAGAAACCAAATAATTTTTACCCTGTGGGATAAAGGAATGACGAAGAAGGTTAATTTGATATCGATTTTGCAGGCGATCTTAGCCATCTCTAGATTTACAAACATCAGGGGTATTGTTGTTAACAGGAATTAAAATTTCAGGAAGTAATTGGAAGCTTGTGAAAGATACTGATTACTCTGCTGGATCAATCTGCTTTGGGAAAGATGTGTAGCGGAGCAGATTTGACCTACTGGGCTTCTTGCACAATGAGGTAAGCTTATAATAGTTCAGACGCGGGCGAATTTATGTTGACTGCGTATACTTGCAACGACCCTTTAAGTGGATTGGAGGGATCTTTTTTAGGGTGGCTCCATGTGAGGGATCATCCAGGTTTTACATAAAAAAGCAATGTCGTTCTATGACGATAAATTGTTTCGTATAAAAATTGTACATGAAAATATTTACTAATAAATTATTTAGTTCCACAGATTAATAAACATCTATCTTATATAAAAGTTTCGATGAAAATTTTATATCCCAAAATTAACTCTAAATTATGAAGTAGTTTTTTGGAAGTGGGTATTTTCCTTTTTTAAATTGGAATCCTAAATTAAAAAGATCCGGCTATATTTCTAAGAAAACGGGAAACTACTGATTTATCTAGAGTTATGGATGACAATTAGACGCTTGACTTTTTTTTGTATATTATGTCGACAGAGTGACAAGTACATGTCAGATGGCATATATAGTATAGATGTTTCTGGTGGATTTAACATATTTGACCAAGTATTTTAATTAATTTTCACAAAACTAAGACTATAATAAAATACTCTAAAAAAAATGGATTATATAACACGATACAAGGTCTCCTCACTAATGAATACGAAGCTCGATGCATAATAACCCAATAGATATTAGTCTCATCGGATAAGGTATGGATAGAAATTATTTCTGCGTTGAAGAATCTATGATTTATTTTTCTTATCAAATTCTAGAACATTCGTGTGTAAATGTATTATCTTTTTTACATCTTGAATCAACTTTTAAACCAGAATATAAAACGGGGTCCCATTCTATGACTGGTAGCTTATTATCTTTTTAAATCGAACTGGGCTACGTCAAACTTATCATTTTTTTTAAAAAAACATAGGGATGGACATTTTTAACTGCTTTTTAGGGTTGGCCTTTTCGGAACAGCCAAAAAAAGAATATTTATTTTGAGGCCGGACCGG